CCAATGAAGAAATTCGATTAATCACCCTATCGATTCTCCAGAATTCCTCATCTGTCCAGATATAAATCGGTTTTTCAGTCCAGTAATTCCATTTATAGACCAAACGAATACGACGCACATAGTCAGGTAATCCAATTGCAGTCAACGGACGAACTGACTCCTGCGCACTCCCTCTGTACACGTACAATTTCTTACCTCAAATCGTTCTGTTCACTTTATGTGTTTATCGTTACTCCACTTAACCACCATTACCATTCAAAATTTCAGGACAGAATTTTTTTCAGAGAGGTTCAAACTGAATTGATGTTAGATCGTCAGTTAGAAAACAATCAAATTGTACAAGATCACACTTTTTTTAAGCTATTTTCATCATATACAAAATGAATATATTCTAAACTCGCCAAGTCTTACATATGCAATTTGGATGGAGGGTTCGAAGACAATATATTTGCATAATTAAGTTATTTCGTTCAATAACTATGCAACTGTTCATCGACAGAAGCAGATATCGAACGGCTATGGTCAAAATATAATGAAACATACTAAGGAATTAATAGAAGGATAATTACCAACAAAGAAAAGTATTCGATCGTTATGATCCTCAACAACCGCGTCGATCGGTGATGGAAGTGAACCCCATAGTGAACTGATCTTCCTTGGACCTTCGTTCAGATAGCCATCATGACGAATTCGCCAGAACCAATCACCCTTAATTAAGTAAAGCAGCTCAATTGATTCAACTGAGAATGCACCGAAAAGGATTTCAGCATATGCCATTGGCAGCAAGGTACTTTAAAAAGGAGCAGAACTATATAGATTACGATGGGGCTGTGTGAGCGAGTTGGTGTTCGTTACGTAATTTTACCTTGAAAACAAAAACTTCGCCTCGAATTTCGGTGATAGCATCAATATCCGATTTACACGGATCGGGCGGCACTTCATTAATACGGTCTTCGTTGACTGACGGTACTTTAGGCTTCTCTTTCGCGGGTTGGGTGGTTGTCTGAACGAGTGGTGGAGCACGAGTTGTTGTTGTCACAGTGGGTGACCTAGGTGCTTCGGGTGCGGACGCATAGCCACGTCCTCAAAATCTCAGTTCATTTTTGATGGATAGAAAGGGTTGACAGCATCCAATCCGTGACTTGTTTCAGTTAATATTACAATAGAATTTGATGTATAGTAAAACAGTTTCCGTCCCAACCGCCACAATGAATGACAATAGAATTTTCTGGACAATAATAAAAAATGAGAAATTCTGAAGGTTTGATCTTTCAGTGACATCAAATCAAGTTTATTTGAACATTAACTGAGAATCTACGCTTCTATGGTTTATTTCATAACGAATGCTGCACTAACCATAAAGTGACTGTATAGCAACAATATCGTCATAATACAGTTGTGGAGGGCTATCGGCTTGATAAAATGAATACATGATGCTATCTTGTTTTAGCGAATGAGACAAACCAAGGCTATGCCCGATTTCATGCATCACTATTGACCTCAAACTAACCTCTGAAATTTTTTAAAAATCAAATTTCTGATTCTATTCATCACCATAACAATATATCATTTAGATAGTTAACAACAATGTACAGTGTAAAGAAGATATTAGCTGCAGAAAGATATTTAAATACTTCCATATTCGGGTTGATTAAACATTTTCTCTTGCTCTAATGTACAGTCTTTTTCGCATGAATCGATCTTATCCTTGAGAAAAGCGATGAACTTCATCGACTATTCGAATACGTTTGTTTGTGCAAATTATCAATTACATTCTTGTCGATTGCCCCGCAATTACGCATAACTGCTTTCNTCTCCAATGAGTGCATCAGACCAGCGTTCGTCATCGTCCAAATGAATGTCACCGCCAAGTCCCTCACCCGGTGGGAATGCATGTGCCAATATGCGTCCACTCCCATCGAACGCATATCGATCGCCATGATCGCCCCTCATGAACGTAATCTTCATATCGGCATTCGACTCACTCCGAACCTCATTCAATCGAATCGCTGCCGCTCGTTGCCAAGCGTTCATCGCTTCGTTCACCTCACGTCGCACCATACCAATATTCCGCATCGTTCGCGGTGCATTATCTACACTGCAATTTTAATCAATCCATCACTATCACTGCTAATTACTTTTGATCTTATTATTGATGTTATTATCGGCGATTATGTCTTCTCGACTGCCGCTGGGATTTATGGATTCGTCTGCAAATTTTTACGTTCTTTCAAGTCTCAGAAAACAAACTGGTGGAACAATAGGACTTTGAGTGAAGTGAACCCTTATAAACTACCTGAGAAATACTTTGATCATCAATAGATATATTCCACACCTAAGATCACTCAATCAAGTGGTTGTTATTGCTTAGAGCGTTGCTTATTTTTGGAAGGATATTAATGAGTGATTATCATTCATATCAGTTGTAATCAATCTAAACGATCACCCACTCGACAGCAATCTTAGAAGAATCAGATGGAAAATGAACGCAGATGCAATTGCGATCAAACATCGAAACGAATTAAATTTAAGTGGAATAATCGAAAATGAGATTGGATTCTTTTTTTT